AACATTCGTGAAAGACTAAAAACACCTTTCTTTATCTCATTGCCAAGCTTAAGATTAACCATCTTTCTTATTCTTTGTGCATATACGACGCTTGTGACGTATCTTAACAATATGCAGGACACTTGTTACGAACCTCGTTATAACTTTGCTCACCTTAACAATATGCAGGACACGGGTTACGAACCTCGTTTTGGCTTTGCTCACCATAGCAATATGCAGGACACGTGTTAGGAACCTCGTTATGGCTTTGCTCACCTCAGCAATATGCAGGATACGTGTTAGGAACCTCGTTATGGCTTTGCTGACCTTAGCAATATGCAGGACACGAGTTACGAACCTTGTTATGGCTTTGGTCTCCTTAGCAATATGCAGGACACGTGTTAGGAAACTCGTCATGACTTTGCTCACCTTAGCAATATGCAGGACACGAGTTACGAACCTCGTTATGGCTTTGCTCACCTTAGCAATATGCAGGACACGTGTTAGGAACCTCGTTATGGCTTTGCTCACCTTAGCAATATGCAGGACACGAGTTACGAACCTTGTTATCGCTTTGCTCACCATAGAGTCTATATGGCTTATTGGTAGAGCATCGGAGCGGAGAACCCGGATGTCTGACGCTCAATTCCTTATGAGGACTCTAAATTTTTTCCTTTGTCTCACGCTCAAGACAAGACCTTATTTCTCCTCTAAATATAGTCAGTTTGTAATGAGAAGGTCACTACACGGCCCGAGATATTATAATTGTTGTAAGTCAACTGTGCGTGCCGATTCGCAATGAACGACTCCCAAAAGCCCAATGAGATCAGGAATGGAACTGCTGAAACTTCTGTGCTATCAGGCAGAAGTTCGCTCGAGGTAATGACTTTCTCGGTAATGGAGACAAAGAAAGAGAAGAAAGTGGGGGAATATCCTAACTGAAACAAGACGTTCAGATGATAAAAACCTTCTGCAGACCGATAGCCAAAGGATGTAAACATACCAGTATGTTCTAGTTCGGACAAATCTCAGTCTTTACATTAAGGCGTGGTTATGAACACCCCACGGAGATCTAAAACTGCTTAAATTAGACTTATCCTTAGAATTCCACTCAACAGTGCCACCAAGAACCAATGCCAATCTGATTCCAAACAAAACACTAAGGAAGAAAGTAGAAGTTGTAGCTTCAATCTTGGGAAAAGCTGAAGAACTCGTACTTGTGGAAATACTTGGCGTAGCAGTTTAAAGAATATGCAAAACAATGCTGCTCTCAACAAAGTCAATATTTGTTGTCTTTTCCTCAAACAGGAAGACTTAATAGTATAACAGGGTGTAGTAATAATTTTTTGAGACAGAATGATAATTGTAGCAAACCATGAGATGTTCTCTGTAAATTTAAGATCGGAGTTGGCACGAAACCTGGCTTATGTCTATTTAGTATAGAGAAGGTTTGCTTTCGCTCCCTGTTGATTTAAAATAAAATTTCAAAGTATGCCTGCATTGATTTTCTCAACGCAGGCATTATTTTCTGAAATGTACAGCTGGCAACACCCCAGGGCAAGATGAAGAGAATCCTGTGTTTTGATTGGCTACTTGGGCAGGCAAGATGGATCCATCTTGCCCATGCACTCGGGATTCGTCGTTTTGATCCCGCTCAAGAAGACAAATTGTGTGGAGCGGACTTAAGAAGTTCGTGAATTTCGGATAATGTCGGCAATGGAGTTACAAATGAGGCGGGAGACCATCTTAACAAGGAAATTATAGAGGAGTTTTGTGTGTTAAAAGTGCTACAAAAGCTGTTTTTCTTTCCCATTGCTCAAAAATAAACAATTCACTTTTGATTTTCATCAAAGCGAAATAATTTTGCTATGGTAACTCCTTTATTGACTAGGCTTGTTCAGTCAAGATGGGCTGGATATTATCCTCGTTGGCTTTTTTTTTTCCCCTGAAGATCGCCTTGCGTGAAGAGAATTATACCACCGCCTGTCGTTATGCACCAACAGGTTCGTATTCAATCGGCGAGAGGGACTGGGGAATGGCATGTTTGGTACTAGTAACTGAGATCTACGCCATGTGGATCTTATTCATTGCACACTTTCGTAAAAACCCGAATTATTAAGATTGTATATTTTTGCTTAAGAGAAAAATATTTAACCAAGGAGGGGCATTTTATTCATGGAATCTGTTAATCGGATATTAAGGATAATCTTGAGTTCATTTTTGTATGGGGGAAATGGAACCTACTTTGTTTCTGGGGCATACCTTATCTTACGACCTTCAAATCTTCTGTTGTCGGTGTTGACTCAATTTGAACGGCTTCTATATGTACCGACTGAGCACACACTTAAAATGTGGGAAAACGACCTACAAACTGGCGTAAATTTATCTAGGCTTTCGCATAACTTCTGTATCATAGAGGCCTTAATAATACATGAATTCAGTTGCAGCCGTTAAAAACTTACTGTTTCTTTACATAAGTTTATTTTTCGTTCAGCTGTTTTGTTCCTTAAAGTTGTTTTGTGAGTTCTTTACACTTCATAGTGTTACCTCTCTATTCATTTCGAAGATATAACTTGAACCGTCTCTTTTTTCAGTTCGAAAGGATGATCCATACAATATGTAATCATTTGCTTGGCAGCTTACCACGCTTATTAAATCGACGTAAAGGTTCAAACATTAACTGGGAATTCATTTTGATCATTTCCGTTGCAGCTACAACAAGCGTAAGCCCTCTTTAGCCGCTAAAAAAATATCAAAAAGAGTGACTAATTGTGTCTTGGTGTTGCATACATGTCCAATACCACGTATCTTTACGAGTCGCCTAATGTGTTGTGAGGTGAATTGGAAGTTGTTGTTTTGAGACTTTGCCAGTGAAGCCTTTTGTTTTGTTAAGCCTTGCCATTTGCGCCTACGTGTTGTTTTGGTAGATTTGTGCTTTCTTTGCTCAGTTCGCGGATTTCCTGATTACCGTGTTAGACAGTTAGACAGTTTCACAGGTGGTTGTGTTTGCGTTAGTAAAGTTGACCTTGAGTTCTACCCACACTGAAGTTCCTGTTTGCGTGTACGATTGCTGTGCGCAGCTGTTAGCGTCCAATTGGTTCCTTGGCTCTAGACGAGTACTTCGGTGAGGGCCACCCAGTTTTCCCCTTTTTGCAAAATAAACGGATACACTAAGGAAACGGTCAGCTAACCCAAAAATGTCTACGGTTTTCCTACTTAAAGTGTTGGTACCTCTCGCTAGAGCATTAGATGCACAGAGCGTCGCTGTGGTTGAAGTCAACTCTTATGGAAGAGAATTAAAGTAAAGAACAGAGTCCTAGTACCTCTGGTTAATTTGCTTGAGCGAGTTGTACAACTGCCGTAACAAATGTATTCACGTGTCGTACGAGCCGTACGGATCGTCTACCTATATTAAAGCTTTGGCTATGACGGTTTTACGATCCGTGCGACCTGTACGGATCATCAAATACACTAACAAGTCGTACGACATGTACGGATCGTCTAATTTATTCACAAGTCGTAAAGTTTTTCAGTCTATCCTTGAATCTGAGTTGGATTCTTCCTGGCCACGACTTATTATCTCACCTCGTAACATTTGAGCGGATCACATACAAAGTGTACAAATAACTACGGTATTCCTCGTTCTAAAAGTACTGTGCGAAGTGTACATTCGAATAAAAGGAGTATTCTTTGTTCTACTAACAAAAACACAACGCGAAGTGAATAAACAACAAGTTTTCTTAGTCTAATAGCATCACTGACTTGAAGTGTATTCGTCGTTGTAAAAGCTCTGCGTAAAGTGTACGAAAAATATAAGTAATTCAGTCTCGTTCTTAAAGGACCGCGTGAAGTGCGCAAACGACAAGAGTAATCTTTGTTGTACTGAAAAGCAACCTGCAAAGTGTACAAAGGTGTTCCTCGTTCTAAAAGCACCGAGTGAAGTGCAGAAAAAAAGTGTATTCCTCTTCATAATAAAAAAAAAAGTCCTGCACGTAGAGGACAAACAACATCTTTATTTCTTTGCTGTACTGAAAAAGAGCAACACGCGAAGTGCACAATGCATCAAGTTTATTCCTCGTTCTACTAAAACGTACTGCGCTAAGTGTTCAAATAGCAAGTATATTTGTTATTGTAAAAGCATCGCTCGAAGTGTTTTCGTCGTTCTAAAAGTTCCGCTTGAAATGCAAAAACAACAAAAGTATTCCTCGTTCTAAAAGCATCGCGTGAAGTGCACAAACAACAACTTTGTTCCTCTTTGTGCTAAAAAAAAAGCCCTACGCGCAGTGCATAAACAACAACTGTATTTCTCGTTCGAATGGGCGCGTAGAACCGTACGTCTCCGAAAATTTTTCGGACGTAAATCGACCAATGAAAGAATCGTATGCGGTCGTGAGTAAACTTGTGCCTGAAGACTTCAATAAACCCACTTAACAAACGCATATTATATCGAAGATATTGGTGATGGGAACTAAAAACGCTCCTTTGTTTGTCCTTTTTCGAGGATTGCTGTACTGTGCAGTTTTTATCACCGCAATAGAGTCTTCCGCTCTTTCTCGATCAGCATACCTCACAACATTGATAAATAAGCAGCTTAAAGGCTTCGTTTTAAAACGGTTTGAGTCTCCCGGCCAAATTTGGTGTAGTCATTCTTGTTTGAAAAACGCCTGGTGTACTTCAACAAACTTCAAACTTGCTCCTCAAACTTCTCATGGCGAAGGAACTTGTGAACTAAACAAGCACGATAACTCTGCTATCAAAGAAAACACACATTTGCAGTTCGAGGAAGGTGGCACTTTCTCGATGCTTCTGAAGGTAACTAATAGCCTAAAATGGCTGATTTTTTAATTAGGTTCTGCGAGAGCCAGTCGATGCTAAAAGTTTACAGCTACAGTTTAATTAGCAGATAATTTGTTAGTTGGCATTTAATTTTGAAATTAACCAGCCTGGGCTTTGTGTTTTCCTGTCGCTGATATTTCATTTGGTGAAAGAATCGACTTATTTGGGTTGAAGTCTTTGGCGTCATGCCCTTTCCTTAGTAATTTTTATATTTTTTTAAGAGGTAGGGAAGTGGAAAGTGATTATCATAACACTATAACTGAAGTTTAGCGAAAATAGAATTTCGATGCGGTTCACTGTTATCATGGAATAACGAAGAAGATAGGAAGGTATGATCGGTAAAAGACCTATCAGTTGTGGTTGCACAAGCTAAAGCAAACCCATAGCTTTTTTGTAAAAGCGATAGCCCTCACCTTCTATCGATTTGCTAGCGTACTCAACTCACTGAGCGAGGTGTGGGGCGAACACGAGTGATATTGTAAATCATGTGCCAAAAGTGATTGTTGTCATAAAATTTCGCGTACGCTATTTCGTCGGTAAAACGATAAAAAGATCGATTTATTGCTTAACAGGTGGTCACCACAGCAAGGTGTGTTGGACAACATTAGCATATAATACTTTATTTAACCCTATTTTTTCCTTTCTAGTTCACAATTAACCTCCTTTACAGCGAACATGTTCACGCGAGATCCTTGCATTATTTTAGCCTTCTGAGAAACGTGCAGCTGCATGCCATCAAAAAATTAAAATGATTTATCCTCGATTCCGTGTATGCCACAATGTTGATACAATCGAAATACTAACAATAAAAACCTAATCATACTCATATTTCAGTTGTGACGTTTTAGTTTGAGCTGTTTTAAGTGTATTCCTTGATTAATGACACGATTTAAGAAACGATGAGGAAAACAAGAGAACACAGAATAGCCTCCATTTCTTCGACGAAGGGTAATAAATGGCTCGTATGAATCAATGGTTATGCAAATATTCGTGGGAAAATATTTTTTGGAGTACTCGCCGGCGTAGAGTGGTTTCTCAAACGTTATTCACTATGATCAGAACTATAGCTTTTCTCTTACTTCTGGAAACATGCTAGATATTTCGTTTAGGAACTAGAGTACCGAGAAAATAAAGCTATATCAGAAGGAAACATAAATTCAAACAATAACCGAAGAAAGGAGATATTGACTTGCTTCTGTCAGTTTTGCGGTAATGCATCTCTGACGTGTGAAATGTATTTAACAAAACCATAGTTGACAAAATCTATGCTCTCATTGCCTGATATTCAGTTAGCATTTTGTATTCTTATGGCCAAATCTTTCGAACGAAAGGTAACATACGGTGCAGGTCTTAGAAACTGTTTTTTTTCCCTGAAGAATCTGTGGCGACAGGTAAGCGGAAGGGTTTTTTAAAATTATCTTTAACAACGCAGGTGGTAAGTTTTGACTCATTATGCTCTCTCATCAAAACACATATAAAGTAAAAGGTGAGCTCTATTTTATTTTCCTTTAATATCGGTGTATTATGGTAATCCTCTCATTCGATAATGATATGGAATTAACATGATGGATGGAAGATTGGAAATGCAAGATCCATTATCTAGATGGAAGGATGAATGTTTTGGGAGTACCAAGTGACCTTGAACAATAAGTAACTCCCTCCACCGCAGGGTAAGATCACAGGAGGTCCAAGCTCTGTCACAGGCTCTTTTACAGTGAATAATTAAAGAATTTGTATAGTGGTTTAGTTGGACTTGCTTTTGAGCTCCGTAAATGTAAAGTTGCGTGAAATGATCAAAGAAATAAAGTCTTACCTTCGTAGAGTGTAGTCTGTGTTGTTCTCCTCGCGATTTGAGGCTGTTTTGATGTGTTTTAGCTTGACGCCTTAAATTACCGTGCATAAAATACGGGAAGGTCGGAAACTTCTGTTGACACTTGCTCCCCAAAATCGCTCGAAAACAACACTTAAATACTTTCCCTCGAATCAAAACTCGGCAGCACGAAAGCCAAAAGTCGGTTTGTCGAGCA